AAAGGGACATCATAAAGGCTGACTATTCATCAGATCCTCCTCCAACACGGACAAGGCGTCAAAAGAGCAGCTGCTCAAGCGCCTCCCCACTGGCTGAAGGAAGATGCACAGAAAGAAGGGCCAGCTGAAGCTGCCAGTAGGTGCTCTAAGGAGACGGCAGGGGCCAGTATACATGACAGCTCTTTGTGCCTAGGTCAGATATAGAGGAAGAAAAAGCATCAGGGAAAGGCACAGTTTCTCCTAAGTGAAACAGCCGAAGTGATATTCCTCAGATTCACACTCTCTTCAGCTAACGTGTGTCTGGGAATAACGGAATCACTACAGGGAAAGGAGGTAGGTGTCAGCGCCCTGCTCATGTGCAGCCATCATGCATTTGGTGTGTCACCATGGACAAGGAACTCTTGGGCTCAGGGTCCTCGTCTGAAAGGCGTAAGACTGAGACTAGGATTTTGACATTGGTCTGGTCTGCATAGCACATTTGGGGCCAGCCTGAGTTATGTACAGAAATTCTGCCCCCCCCAAAACAACAAATAGATGACTAGCTAAATAGAATAAAAGCTGTTCATGGATGGCAACAAGTTTCCTGCAAATTTCAAACACAAAAAACAGCTCATTAATAAATGGAGCCTGACATCATAGTGCTATTGTTGTGTCTTGACTGCTGAGATGTCACATTTTACTCTCTCCGAATCATGCCGAGCCATGGATGATCCATGGTGCTACATTTTGGGTCTTGAAATGTCTCCCAAAGGACCATGTGGTAAGGGCTCTGTCTCCTCTCAAGATGATACTATTGGGCGATGATGGAACTTTTGGAAGAGCCTGTGGTCACTCGCGGCATGCCCTTGAAAAGGTCTGTGGGATGCTAAGCTTCTTCCTTTGCTACCTGGCAACAAGGTATATAGCTTGTTCTGCCATTGGCTTCTCACCTTTGCCATTCAGTCGAAGCCCAGGCAGTGGGCCTGCCCATTCAGAACCTCCAAAATAAACACTTTATAAGTTATTTGTGTATTTCATTACATTGATGGAAAACTTCTAACATGCCCAGTTTCCAATATTTAGAATCATAACTTCTCCATGTTATCTGACTCCCTGATGCCTACTGAGAAGAGAAAAAGGAAAGCAAGAAGAAATAAAGTGGCAGCTCCCAGGATGCTTGCAAACCTGGGTAGGAATAAAATTGTAACACTGGAATAAAGTTGGGACGAGGGGAGAGTTAATCAGAGAGGCTTAATGGAAGAGGTAGCACTTATTAGAGATCAGATGGACAGCTCATTAATGTGCCTAATACCTAACTTAATACCTGAATGTGATGCACACATGTTATTTGCCTCCCCAGTCTGTTCAACCTCTGGGGCTCTAAGCCTGAGATAGGGCAGATTCCTCTAAAATATAGCCACATAGACTTAATGCACTATGTTCATTTATATTAAATGTGATGGCTACTTTGTGGGGGAACTTTTGTTCTTCTGCCTTCAACATATTGGTAACAAGGTATTTATAAGTGCCTCAGGACAGAAACCAGGGTGCTTAAAATTCTGTAGTTACCAAGACAGTAATTCCTTTTTTTTTTTGGTGGGTCATGGGGCTTGAACTCTGGGCCAGATGCTGTCCCTCAGCTCTTCAGCTCAAAAGAACTTACCACATTAGCCACTGTGCCATGTTTGGTTTTCTGGAGCTAAGAGTCTCATGGACTTTCTTGCCAGGGCTGGTTTTGAACCGTGATCCTCAAATCTCAGCCTCCTGAGTAACTATGATTATAGGTATGAGCCACCAGTACCCAGCTATAAGCCAGTAATTCTACCCCTAGGTATTTAGCTATGGTAAAAGATACTGTAATAACTGGAACAAGAATGTTCACAGAGCTCTATTTATTATAGTCAAAACCAGAAACCATCAAGTGTGCACCAACTGTGGAATTGTCAGCCACACTGAGCTATCCATACAATGAAATAGTATTCAGGGATATAAAGGAAGAAACAAGGTGATAGGACATGGATAAATCTCAAAAGCACCGAGTTAAGTGACAAAAGGGAAAGACTGAAGATTCTATGAGTCCACTTATATATGGAGTTCTAGAAGAGATTAAACCATAGGTCCAGACAGCATGGGAGTGGCTGTTAGTGGGAAGATGAGAAGAGGAAAAGATGACTAGCAAAGGGGCCCCAGAGAAATGTGGGGTGACAGAAACATTATGATGAATGCAGCAATGGATGCAATTTTCAAAGCTTTCTGAACTACACAGATTTGGAAATTTACTTCATGAAAATGTTACCTCAATAAAACAATATTTTTGGATGTCATTCTTGAAGCTTGAACTCAGGGCTGGAGCACTGTCCCTAAGTTTCTTATTTGAGCCACATCATTGCTTCCAACTTTTTCTGAGTAGCTTATTAGAGATAAAAATCTCAGCATCAAATACAGTGAAAGCATGGGTTATAACGTTGGGGAGGGACATACAAAGCAACATAGAAATCATCTTATAAATATGTTAGAAACAATTGCAGAAAGGAAAAAAAACAAAAAACATTTGAATATATATCTTGGGTTCATTCCCCTAACATCAACTTATCTGACCTTTTCTGCTTGACTCAGACATATACTAGTTATTGCAAGTAAGGGAAACCATGGGACCTATGTTTCTTTGGGCCTAGCTCACTTCACTTAATATAATTTTTTCCAAGTCTTTCCATTTCATTGTATTTGATGTTGGTATAATTTGTGTAGGGGAAGAGAAAAAACAAATCATTTAACTAGGGATACAGGTGGACCCACTGCAACAATGAGATGTACAAGTCATTATGTCAAAAAATGAACTTTACAACTTTGGTGGGGGGGGGAGATTGGGTGGAGGGTGGGAGGGAGGATGGGAAGGGATGGGAAGGGGAAACAAAGAGGAGGCAACAATGCTTGATAAGAAATATACTTGTTATCTTGCCCATGTAATTGTAACTCCTCTGTACGGTATTCTCACAATAAAAAAAATTTAAAAAAGGGTTATGAGGTTTGGACATTGCCAAAAAATTTTAAAGAATTTTCACATTGTTTTAAATGACTTTTTAAAGATTCTTTAACTTAAAAAATTAAAAAAAATCTGGTATTATAAAATGCAAAAAAAAAGAAGAATCTAATGGATTTTCCTACCCATGCTGTCTTCCAACCATGATCTTCAGATCTCAGCCTCCTAAGTAGCTAGGATTACAGGTATGAGCCACCAGCACTGGCTATAAGTCTCCATTAAAAAAATGGAGCTGTGGCTCAGGTGGCAGAGCACTAGCCTTGAACACAAAAGCTCAGTGACAGTACTCAGGCCTTGAGTTCAAGCCTTAGAACAGGTGCTAAATACTAAAATAAATAAATAACAAGAACAAATTAGGACAGGTTTAGAACAGGTTCTAGCTGTCCCAGAGGGAGGATTTTGGCTTGCAGGGTGCCAGCAGAGCCAGTACTACCTGAGCCCTTTGGCTCTCCAGAACCTAGAATCAGTCTGCTTGCCCAGACAACTGACAACACATAGTTCTATATTCCTGAGTGTTCACTGAATAACCTGAGACAGCAAAGCTTTGATTCAGGAGACAGCAGGAAGTGTATGGCTTCAAGGAGCTTCACCTCTTGGCTGTTCTATTGTTACCACTTCCCAAAGGGGTAAATGAAAATGGGCTTTTTTTTCTCAACATTTTAAATCATAGTTTGTGCATGGTGATCTGATTCGTGTGGCCTGCCAGGATCTTGCTTTTTGGATCATTCCCATGGCTATAAGCCTATGGTTGATTATGCCTGGGTCCTGGAAGCAGATGACTGGAAAGAAAAGTCCCTGAACTCAAAAACAAATCTATCAAATCCCAGGAGAAGGGCTGCCTCAAGACCTGTGTAGAACACTTGTCCCTACATCACCAAATGTACCACTGCCCATGGGTTCCTTCATCCACCAACTACCATCAAAACACAAATCTGAACGTTCTGAATAATTTAAGTTGTACTTTTAGAATGCCAATTAAATACTGACTATGAAGACTCATAACAGAACACTTACCCCAAAAAGCCTTGTGTGTTTGCAAGTTGAAGTTAGATGGAATAAACACAGACTCAGGGAGTGCATGTGAGATGCCAAACACTCATAGGCTAATACTCCTCTGTTAGTGACTCACACCTTCACATGTGTGAGCTACACAACCCATTCTTTGAGTAAGTCCTCAACAGCTTAGAGAGTTAGTGACTAGATTAGGTTATAATACTTGGCTAGTTTAGAGATTGTATCTATCCCCCAAGACTATCTTAAGCACGTGTGCACATTTACACACACACACACACACACACACACACACACACACACACACAGTCTAGAAGCTACATGTAAGTTGCGGATTATGTTGCAACCATTCTATGAGCAAGTCCCTTTCTAGGTGTGAAAACCTGGACAAGCGAGTTTTTCTCTTAGTTTCTTTGTCCATACAAATGAGGAAAATAGATCCTATACCACTGAGCTTTGAAAGGATTAAATAATGTAATTCAAACTAATGAGCACAAGTGTTAGCTATTAGTATGATCTCAGCCAAGCTGGTTTCAAATATAAGAAACTCATACCACCTTCAACTGTTCAGAGTTTGAGTGTCCACAGCATGGATGTCACTCTCTCTTCAATTAGACCTTCCTTTTTCGATGCAGTAAATGGTTTACTTTCATTTTTATTGCTTGAACTCAGAGTTTTGCCCTTTCCCTTTTACTGGTTGCTGGCAGTCTACCACATGAACCATACCTCACATGAACCATACCTCCATTTCTAGCTTCTTGTGGATTAATCTGCCTCGGTTGTCTTTGAACCATGATTCTCAGATCTCAGCCTGTGTAGAAGCTAGGATTACAGACATGACCCACTAGCACCCAGCTGGTAAAACTTTAGCAAATCTGTGAGGAACATCTCCAAAAGATTCCCGTTCTTTCTTTCCCAAGCTTGACCAGAATGTCCCATTCCTAGACAGCTCGTCCCTTCCTTCACTCACCTGGTCTGGGTACTTGTCCCCAGTGATCTCTGCTACAGTATTGAATGAAACCGTATCTGGGTAGGTCTTTGCTCCCATCTTCAGCTGAATGACAATTGTTTTTCCATAGGAAGCCAATCTTGTTAACATTTCGGCGTCTTCCACTGTGATACAGGCGGTGGGGATCTTGGGCACGTCGTCCTGGTATTCTTGATTACCTGTGTGAGGACTTAGGAAGAGAAGCCACCAGGTTACCTTGAATGTGAAAATGGATCCAAAGCCCCTGTATAGTGATATTTGACTTTAAATGATCTTTGCATAATGGGCAGTATCCACCTGCTTTTTTTCATTGAAAAATTACTTTTAAGTTCAACTCAATAATGATCTGATTTTTCCAATAGTTTGGATGATTGTTTAGAGTTAAAGTTGGTCACAAACTCTGAGGAACATTAATAGTGACAAAGACCAAGAGGTGAACTCATGTGTCCAGGGGACAGGGTCCTCTGAAGTCTATCAGGGGACAAGCTAGAAGATCTAAATTGCACTCTGGTAGACTTTCTTCCAGAAGCTCCTGGAAGAAAACTGACCTAGACATTGTCAGTTCTCTGGTCACTCACTGGTATTGGGTCTTTCTTTTATCTATCCCAAACAGAGGTCCAAATATACAGTTTATATCAATGGTAGCACATGAACAATGTCTGGGGAGATATTTGAATTCTTATAAAGAAAATGCTCAATAAAATCATGTTTCAGTTTAACAATACAAAATAAATCTAAAAGAGGCATGGTACCCATGCTGGTCAAACTTGTGGCTAACTTCTGTTGTTGTTGTTTTTTTTTTTTTACCTTACTAGAAACATGTATAATTGAAGCTTCTATAAAGATATATTGAGTCAACCTCTGGATCTTCTAGTGAAGTTTACTGAAACTATTTTTCTGGGTTGGAGATGTGGCTAGATGGTAGAGTGTGTGCCTAGTGAGTACCAGGTACCCAGTTCAAACCTCAGGACCATCAAAGAATAATTTTCTAATCATTCATTATTCAATATGAAAATTGTCACTCACACATTCAACACTCAAAATGTCCTTTTGCTTAGTCCTGGGTTACAGATCCTGACCCTCCTTGAGCACATCCCTTCTAAAACCACAAATAAACAGTGTTGGCTTCTATGTGAATAACATAACTTATTAGTCTATTTTCATGTTGCTTTGGTTTGGATATGAACTATCTCTGACAGGCCTTTATCTCCAGCTGGTCATACTCTTTTGTGTTTTTGAGGTAGGGCCAAGCTGGAAGAAGTAGGTCACTTGTTTAGATCTGCAGTGGCCCCTTCCTGTCTCTCCTTCCTGGCCATTACCAGGTGTACATGAATAGATACTTCCTCATTGCCATGTCTGCCTCATCAATGTCCTGTGGTCTCTAAAACCATGATCTAAAACAGGTATTTGGTCACAGCAATGACATATTAACACAGTCATTTTCTGTCAAGATAAAAAATTAAATCCTCCCCTATAGAAATATTTTTTCCTATTTCCATATCTAATCAATCATGAGACATTTCAGTTTTACAGATGATGGCTTGGTATGTCTGCCATAGCAGTGACTCCAATGTCCACATGTATGGGCTCAATGGTCCAGTTTTATCTACAACTACATTCTTGGTGTGATGGTATTGTTTTGACCATATTTAAGGAGACATTTATTTCGTGAAAGTGCATAGAAGAATGGTTTAGAACAAAGGCTACCTGGATTCAAATCCATGCTATGCCATTTGTTACTAATTGCTTTGCACAAGTTACTAACATCTTTGTTTCAAGAGTTTCTTTTAAGCTGGGAGCCAGTAGTTTAAGTCTGTGATTCTGGCTATTCAGGAGGGCAAGATCTGAGGAATGCAGTTTAAAGTCAGCTTAGGCAGGAAAGTCTGTGAGATTCTGATCTCCAGTTAATCACCAAGAAGCTGGAAGTAGATCTGTGGTTCAAGTGGTAGAATACTAGTCTTGAGCAAAAAAGTAAAGGAACAGTACCCAGGCTTTGAGTTCAAGTCCTAGTACAAACATAGAAAAAGGCTTATTTATTTTATATTTTTATTTTTGTCGGCCATGGAGCTTGAACTCTGGGCCTGGATGCTGTCCCTCAGCTCTTCAGCTTAAGGCAAACGCTTTACCACTTGAGCTACAATGCCACTTCCGGTTTTCTAGTGGTTTATTGGAGATAGAAGTCTCACGGTCTTTCCTGCCTGGGCTGGCTTTGAACCGCGATCCCCAGATCTCAGCCTCCTGAGTAGCTAAGATTACAGGCATGAGCCACCGGCGCCTGGCAGAAAAAGGTTTATTTTATATAGGTAAGTAAGTAATCATAATTGTACTTATTTTATAGGGTGATTTCTTTCAGATTGAATTAATTTCTATGAGTAAAATCTTTATTGATGCTAAGTACCTATTTGCTTAACTTCACTATTACTTTTCAGAGACTATATAATCTCACATCATTAATACCATCTTAGTTTATCCATCATCCACCATTTATTAGATGTTGGATGTAAATTTTTATTATTCCTAAAAGCAGAGGCAAAATGACTTATAAATTCAGGACTCAGAATACAGAGACCTGAAGTCTGAATCTTTGCTGCAGGTTAGTGTGATCTACTCTCACTCCTGGTTCAGGCTATCAAAGTCTGAATCTTTACTGCAGATTAGTGTGATCTACTCTTACTCCTGGTTCAAGCTATTGAAGTTGCGTAACCTAAGTTGAATCCTGACTCCAGCATTCTCTACCTGCCTACCATCCATGTAACTTACATCCTCCTCATCTTCAAAGCAGGGATAACACTAGCATTAGCTTCATAATGTCACTAAAGCATGAAGACACTGTTTGGCACACAGTAACTTACTTGGTAAATATTAGCTGTTGTTATTCTTTCAGTGCTAACTTTTCCCACTGAGCTGGTGAAGTGATTAATGAATTTGAAAACTTCTTTGCGACATGAAGGAAGACAATCTAAATATTTATTACCCGTATTACGTTACGTAATGTCTGGGAATCAACAATCTCTTCTTGTTCTCAGATGCTCCTACTCAAGAAAAGGTCAGGATACCACTTATTAATAGATTCTTATGAGTGCTCTTTATAGACAAGTTTGTACTAGCAAGCTTAAGCGTTCATAAAGTAAATCCAGTGCACAGGAATGCACCCATGACTCTTTTGGGGGGAAATAACACTAAAAGGCACCCTCTAGCCTGGTTTCAAATATATTAAAAGATAAAAGCCTTTACTTTTGTTTCTGCAGCTAAACATGTCTTCTGGTAAGCGAGCACCTATCATTGCTAACAGAAGGCAAAATGAAGACCCAGTATCTGTACCTAGAATCCTGTATTCCTTTTATTCTAGAGGGACCAAACATCATGATCATTGTCTTCCTGCTACTGCTTATAAGCTCCATCTACAATTTAACAGTAGCAAAGGGTAAACTACAAAGAAATCCATAAAAAGATCAAAGAAAGAACATTTAAGCATTAATACCAATCCTTTGTAAACTCTCTATAAGACAGAAGTGGAAAGAATATTTCCCAACATCTTTCACAAGGCCCCTAAGACTTACATCAAAACTAGAAGACATTTTAGGGGATGGGCTGGGGTTGGGAGAAAGGGAGGAGAATTATGAAAGGGGTGTCATTGTTAAGACACATTGTACTCATAAACGGAGAGGTTGAATTGAAAATTCTCTGTTCAACCATTTAAAAATAATTAATGTTATTTTAAATCAGACAAGGTATCAGAAGAAAATAAAAGTAAAAATGTCAACAAAATACAGTAAACTGAACCAGTAAAAAAAAAAGATGGAAAAGATTATAAACTATGACCAAATTATAGTATTTCAGCAAAACAAGGTTTATCATATAAAAATCAAACAATATTAACAAAATATTGTTATATAATATATAATATAACATGGGAGAAAGCATGTGATTAATTTAATAGATGCAGAAAAGCATTCGAATAAAACCTAGCATCCTTTTATGATGAAAACATTAATCAAATTAAAGGGAGGCAACTTCCTTAAACACTACACTAAATGGTAAAAACAGGAAGCTTTTCCTTAAGATGAGAAAGAAGAAAAAAGTTCTGGTCTCTTGATTTCTACTCTAAATTGTACTAGAGATTCTAGCCAGGGAAATTAAACAAGAAAAAGAAAATTATTCCCTTTGAAAAGATATGAAACTATCTCAATTTATAGATGACATGACTTTGTACATAGAAAATCTTAATCTACAAAATTTAACAATCAATTAATTAATTAATAAGTTCAACCAGGTTACAGAATATAAGAGCAGTATACAAAAATAAGTTGTACAAGCCAGGCACTATTGGTTTTTGCCTGTAATCCTAGATACTCAGAGGCTGAGTTCAAAACCAACCTGAGCAGGAAAGTCCATGAGACTCTTATTTTCAATTAACCACCAGAAACCTGGAAGTGGCAATGTGGCTTAAAGTGGTAAAGTGGTAGCCTTGAGTGAAAGAGCTCAAGGACAGTGCCCAGGCCCTGAGTTCAAGCCCCTTGACCAACAGCAAAAAAGAAAAATTGTACAGTGATATGAAAACATGAGTCAGATTTATGTTACTACATCAAAATACTTGAAGCAACTAACTTTACATGAAGTATATATAAGCATATATTATATATAACTTAATACATAAGTATAAAATACATAAATAAAAATAAATGAAATATATAAATATGTCTATAATGATATATCTATATACAATTTATTTGGTTATAGTTTTAGAGGTTCAGGGGTATGACACATTTTGGTTTATTTCTGGTGAGTATCTGATGATAAATTGCAGATGTGCAGCAAATATGGGAATGGCCAAATGATTTCAGCTTAAACTAGGAACAGGGAAAATAGAAGGGGAGAGGTTAGCTATTTCCATAATAACTCTGTCAGAAGAACCATCAGAAGGGATACATAACACAAGTATCTCTTTATACTCCTCTCCTTAATGATTCCTCCAGGGAACGTAAGCAGCAGTGTATCATACAATAGTAACTCACTAGCAAACAGAAACCTGAGTAAACAATGCCATGAACATTGGCAACAACAACAAGAAAGTAAATTTAAACTTAACAAAAGAATAAGCTTGTGTATTGGAAACTAAAAATTGAATAAATAAAATCTAAATAAGCAAAAAGATATCTCATGTTTATAGATTGAAAGCTTTGTTATTGC